TCCTGCCTCAGCCTCCCGAGTAGCTGGGACTACAGTCGCCTGCCACCATGCCTGGCTAATTTTTTGTATTTTTAGTAGAGACAAGGTTTCACTGTGTTAGCCAGAATGGTCTCGATCTCCTGACCTTGTGATCCACCTGCCTCGGCCTCCCAAAGTGCTGGGATTACAGGCGTGAGCCACCACACCTGGCTGTCCAGCTAATTTTTTTTTGCATTTTTAGTAGAGACAGGGTTTTACCATGTTAGCCAGGATGGTCTCGATCTCCTGACCTCGTGAGCTGCCCGTCTTGGCCTCCCAAAGTGTTGGGATTACAGGCGTGAGCCACTGTGCCCGGCGAATTTTTTAATTTAGTAGCAGTAGCCATAGCAGTAGCAGAGACGGGGTTTTACCATGTTGGCCAGACTGATCTCAAGCTCCTGACTTCAGGTGATCTGCCCACCTCAGCCTCCCAAAGTGGTAGGATTACAGGCGTGAGCCACTGCGCCCAGCTTCAAAGATGTTTATCCAGGGAACAGCCATGGAAGATGGAGTTGGTGTCTCCCTCCAGAGCAAAGGACAACCATGCTTACTGGCTTTGAGTTTCCTAAGCTTAGGGTCCTCTCCCACAATGCAGTTCACTCTGTATGTCCGCACTAACCTGAGCCCATCAGCATCACCCCCATGGGACTTAGGGTTAAAAGGAACTGACGGAAATATGCTGGTGCTCATGCTGTTTGCTGCACAGTGATAAAGTCCTTTGTCTCTGACCCAGGACTCTCTTGTATTTTGCCAGCATCCTTGAACCTGATGGGCTACCTTGGCAGCTTGCAAATTGGATAAGATCTCAGATGCTTCATAGTCCTTGACATAGAAGGTGCTTACAGGTGTTGGTGGTAAAACCTATTCGCAACAGTCACAGTGGACAGGCCAGTGTCTATGGAGCAGTGGGCTTGGACTCTTTCACACCCTTCCCTTGCCAACAGAATGTACCACACCTTCGGCCAGGGATGGTGGCTCACAACTGTAATCCCAGCACTTTGGGAGGTCAAGATGGGCAGATCACTTGAGGTCAGGAGTTTGAGACCAGCCTGGCCAACATGGTGAAACCCCGTCTCTACTAAAAATACAAAAACTAGCTGGGCATGGTGCTGCGAGCCTGTAGTTCCAGCTACTTGTGAGGCTGAGACAGGAGAATCGCTTGAACCAGGAGGCAGAGGTTGCAGTGAGTGGAGATCCTGCCACTGCACTCCAGCCTGGGCAACAGAGCATGCAGTCAGGGGAGGGAAAGGAGGGAAAGGAGGAGCGGGAGGGGACGGGAAGGGGGAAGGGAATCACACCTTCATGTGAGCTAGTCCAGATTGGTCCCTCCTTGTGGCACTGATGACACGGCTGCAGTTAGGCTCTTTTCTGGGTGATAGTGCACACCACGGCAGCTCAGTCACACACAGCTCAATTACAGCTCTCCCTGGGCTGGCTGATTTCGTGGGGATGGTTTACATGGCAACAAGTTGCCTATGCCACATTGCTGTGCCTCTGGAAAACATAACTCACATCATTTGTATATTCACACAGGCACGGAAAAGGGGTCAGCTATTCTTTTTTTTTTTTTTTTTTTTGGTTTTCACTGCAATGTGAATCACCTTGACATGTCTGTGAAACAGGAAGTGGCTGGATGATACAGCAATAAAAATAATCACACTCAACTTGGTGTGTGTATTTTCTTTGGGCCAGGCACTGTGTTAGGAGCTGTGTATGAAGTATTTCACTTATTCCTTAGGACAACACTGGCAGCTGGGTCTTATTATCATTCCCAATTTGCAAATGAGGAGGCTGAGGCCTGGAGTAGTAAGAGATGTATTCACAGTCACCCAGTTGGGAGTGGCAGGTGGCAGCCAGTGTACCTCTTGAGCCTGAGCTCTTACCAGTAGATTTCTCCTGTGCTCAAAAGCAGGGAAGAGTGGCAGGGCAGAAGAGCACCCTATTTATCAGTGTGAAGATAGTTTCATTTCATTTCCAATCCCAACTCTCGATGTCCATCGTTTTACTACTCACAGTAAGTAGCACATCAGAAGGGTTTAATAACAGCCACTTTCACTTTCAGTAAAGTGTCTTTGGAGAGAGATGCATTAAGGCAACATCACTTCCATCCCTCATCTTCAAAACTGATGAGCGAGGCCGGGCACAGTGGTTCATGTCTGTAATCCCACACTTTGGGAGGACAAGGCAGGCAGATCACCTGAGGCCAGGAGTTCGAGATCAGCCTGACCAACA